GTTTAAATACCAGCAAGGTCACCCATGGTGGATAGGTTTCAGTGGAGCTTCCAGTCTGAGACAGACTAGGAAGAAGAGGTGGTACACTACACTTCTTAAAGATTAGCCACTGAAAATGGACTGGCTAAAGGAATGATTATGAGCATGGCACAGGACCTGGGCAGAGCTTCATTCTGTTGTGCCACAGCATGGCTGAGGGTCAGGACAGACTCCGTAACACCAGACACCATTTGTAGAAGGGATTTGAGACAGCTTAAAATAAAGATGGATATACTATTAAGTCCAGAACCCAGAAATACAGAGGTGGGGGTGGGGGGACGCTGTTTATGACCTGCTGTGTTGCCCTCCCACACTAGTAAATCAAGCAGGAGCAGAAAGATAAGCCTCCGTATACGTGTTGTGTGTTTATTCCAGTGTAGTGTCACCAGCAGCTCTCAGAGTGTGGTGTGGAGTCCTCAGAGGCCCGTTTAGGCAGGCAGGCCGAGAAGTCACAACTGTTGAGGATAAGACAGTGGGGTTTTCCAGAGGCTACATGAATGTGATGCTGCAAAAGACTGATTATTGTAGGAATAGTAATCTCTTCTAGGTATTAATGGAATTTTGCAAAATGTAAAAGGTGTAATTCATCACTAGGAAATTTTCTTGAATTATTTTCTATTAACATAGTTTTGTTGTTTTTAATGAACTTTTTAAAAGGAAACCAGGTGGTACTGCAGTGGGTTAATCATAGGGCTAACTGATCAATTGTCACTTCAAACCCACTAGCAGCCAGCTCCACAGGGCAAAGACAGGCAGCCTTAGAAACCCTTTGGGGCAGCTTTACTCTGTCCTTGGGATCACTGCAAGTCAGCATCGATTCATTGGTTGTTATGTGCCGTGGAGTTAGTTCTGACTCATAGCGACCCTGTACAGGGTTTCCGAGGCTGTAAATCTTTACGGGAACAGAAAGCCTTATTTTCTCCCGTGGAACCTCTGGTAGTTTTGAATTGTTGGACCTGAGGTTCACAGCCCAATTTGTTTGTAATCACTATGCTACCAGAGCTCCTTGATTCATTGGCAGTGGGGATGAAAATTTGGAAACTACTGAAATACCACCTCTTTTGGGATCCTGAAACCAAAAATTTGAGAACCATTGGTTTAACCAAAGAAAAATTGCTTTGAATGCTTGTACGAGAAATCCAAACTCTAGCTGTTTAGAACTATTTGTATTTTCTTTGAGAGCAAGGCCTCACTAAGCTGTACTTCCTTTCCTTTCTAGGTCGGTACCTCTTCTTGAATGCAATTGCAAATCAGCTGCGGTACCCCAATAGCCACACGCATTACTTCAGCTGCACCATGCTGTACCTTTTTGCTGAGGCCAACACAGAAGCTATCCAGGAACAGATCACAAGGTAAGAGAGACTCCTTTGAAACTGCATATGTTCTATTTGTTCCTTGTGAACAAAATTAACATGGTATCTGCCTTCCTGATATTTTGTCTGACACACACATAAAAATCAGAGACTACAGTTCACCATCTTGATGGACTGAAGAGTTGGCTTTTCTAGTTTAAAAAAAAAACAACAAAACCCTCAAGAGGTGGTGGCACCATTGTAACCAGGGCCTTAACTCACATGGGTGTTTTAAAATGCCAGGCTGAGGATGAACGAGTGTGTCATGGTTAGGGTTCTTTCACAGCTTACTTGTTTAGCACTGAGGATTGGGAAGTGGGTAGATTCTAATGAGAGAGACACATACATACAACGGGGCTTCAGAGATTTCATGGAAAAGACTCCATTGTCTTTTGAGTTCATGTTCAACAAGTGTTTTGAAACCCAGTAGTCGGGCTACTAAACCTCAAGGTCAGCAGTTCGAAACTAACCAATCATTCCACGGGAGAAAGGTGAGACTTTCTGTTCCTATAAAGATTTACAGCCTCGGAAATCCTAGTCGGGGCTGCTATGAGTTGGAACTGACTCCACAGCACACAGCCACCACCACTACTGGACTTAAAATATTGGGAATATATTTTTATGCTTGCACTTTTCACCTCTTAGTACTTGTGGTACTAAGTATAGCGTTTCTTAGATTTCTGTACCGAAGTTAATATTTTATTAAAGTACAATTGGTAAGTCAAGTATAAGCATTGGCATTAGAATACATATGCCTACTTACATGTGCAGCTAGCAGTGATCAGACTCTTTACTCCCCGTTTCCTTACTTTCAGTGTGTTCTCATTCTTTAAGTAATGACTGTGTACTGTGTATGTGTTTTATGGGCTTTCTTCTTAACCACTGTGATGGGCTCACCTATTAATTTAACTGTTATTATCCAACATTTTAAGGAGCTCTGGTAGCGTAGTGGTTACGAATTGGACTGCTAATCTCATGGTCAGCAGTTCAAAACTATCAGCTGTTCCACGGGAGAAGATGAGGCTTTCTGTTCCCGTAAAGATTTACAGGGTTGCTATGAGTTGGAACTGACTCCATGGCACATAACAACATCCAACATTTTGCATATTAATAACACATAGCGGGTAGTAAGGGAAGACGGAGGTGCCAGGCAAGAGTAATGCTGTATCATCCAGGATGGGCCATGATTCTCATCTGTTTGATATTTATGTGATGCTGTTGTTTCCCATCCTGTGACCTGGTATGGTTGTGCCTTTTCCACTCCATGCCCTGGTCTTTCGGATCTAATCATGTTGGTAAGAGGTGTGGCTGTACCGTTACCCTCATTTTATGTTAGTCATCTTCTAAGATTCAGTAAGGACTCCAGGTTTGGTGCTGTAGGTCAGAACTGTTGAATCAGAAGTTCAACAGTTCAAACCCACCAGTAGTTATTGGAAATCCTACACAGGGTCACTATGAGTCAGAATTGACTCTGGCACTTAACCATCACAGGGTTCAATAAGTGAAAAACCAGGGTTCAAACACAGTTGTTCTATTTCCAGAATCTGCATTAATTATGTGTAAGTACTGGGCAGCTAACCGCAAGGTTGCTTTGAGTTGAAACTGATTTCATGGCACTTGATCTACAACGTAGAGAAAATCCATTGTAAAGCCAACAACTTTTGGCAGTGGTTTAATAATTGGGGACAAGAGCTAGAAAACAGGTAATAGTAGTGTGTGTTATGCATTAACTGGCTCTTTTCTCACCTTCCCCAGGGTTCTCTTGGAACGGTTGATTGTAAATAGACCACATCCTTGGGGTCTTCTTATTACCTTCATTGAGCTGATTAAAAATCCAGCGTTTAAGTTCTGGAACCATGAGTTTGTACACTGTGCCCCAGAAATCGAAAAGTAAGTTAAAAGTAATTCTGTAGGCCTGGGACAGGAAAATGACTCATTTGGTGTCTCCAGTTTGGGTGGGTGATTGAGGCAGTAGTAACTAAAACAAACAGAAGATAGATGTGTAGTAGGTATTTCTAGACCTGAACTAGTCTCACAAAACTGTACCTTCTTTCTCATTAGGTTGTTCCAGTCGGTAGCACAGTGCTGTATGGGACAGAAGCAAGCTCAGCAAGTAATGGAAGGGACAGGCGCCAGTTAGGTGGGACTGCATCTCTGTTGTAAGCTTGTCAACCTGGAGGTCCTGTGGCACCACATTTATAAACTGACTGAAGAATCCTCCTGACTCTCCCAGCCCTTTGGTTCTTGGGTCTCTGCCCCCAGTACTGTTGGGGTCAGCCTCCTGTCTATGTGGGCACGTTCCAAAGTTTAAATTCATTTTTTTTTTTTTTTTTTGACTTGGCCAAAATTTAGAAGATGCTGTGAATATCATTTTGAACTTGTGTAAATATATGAAAGAGAAAACCTTTGTGTGGAACTTCTTGGGTTTGTGGGAAATGTGTCCCAGGCCAGTGGATAACTGTTGTCTACCCAGGTGACCGGATAGACATTCACTTGATGGGGACAGAGCTCCCTGTTCTCCCGACTCCAGAGACTCATGAAAAGCCAGATGAAGCATCACTTTAAATGTGGACAAAGGGGCCTTGATCACCAGGTTATTAACAACATGAGCTGTAGGGAGTTGGTATCCAGGACATGTGGTGAGGGACCAGAGGTCCTGTGGGTTTTGTTTGCCTCTTCCCCAGCCCCAATCCAAAGCTGACTCTGCAGGGCGATTCTCATTTTCACTAGAGAAGATACTCCTTAGGGCCCACGAGACTTCCCCTAACCAGGCCTAAAACCCCTCCATTAGTAAATTACATTTTAAGAACTGTCTTTCCCTGTCACCCCTGAATAGCCATGAGTTGCTTTTCAAAAAAAAAAAGTAAATGGAGCACTACAACCCCTTTGGTAAGGATTCTGAGTGGTTTGTAAACGCACTGCTCCACGTGTTGCAGCCTTTCTGGGGCCTGCACTTTAGTTCCCTTCCCCCAGTATGAGTGAGTCAGCCCACTGTGTCTTGTTCAGTAGCAGCCAGCTTACTGCTGAACAAGTAACTCCCACTTACCTAACATGCTTAAACCAGGAAGAAAAAGGCTTACTGTAAAGTGTTTTTCACCCAAGTCTCCTTTTCAACAGTGACACTGTTGGAGCAAGTCTCTACAGTTAAACTGAATTACAAAAAAAACGATTGTTTTAAAACATCCTTTATCTGGAAGACCTTTTAATGAATGCCATTAAAGGAATGATCCCTTGAAGGTGAATTGTATCATGGGGAGCTGTCAGATGACTGAGGTGGGCTTAAAGCAACCCCCTCAAGAGGGTCCACTCTGTACCAGGCTCACTGAGTCCTCTCCTAGGTGGGAAACAGTTCTGCCTCCCAAGTGAAAAAGGCTTACTGCTACCACATCTACTGTCTTTGGTCAAAACCAAATCAAATGACCAAAAATTTTGTCCTTAGTAACAATTAACAGTGATTCCCAAGTCTGTTGTCCCCAGTCTTCAGTCACCTTTATTCCAACTTAACCCCTTTTCTACTTTTCCTTTTGGTATTTAATAAGAACAGCAAAATTAAAACTTTCCTTCAAGTATTGTTCTCACCTCTGCTCATTTAGGCAATAGGGCAGCCTACTAACTTGTCAGTTCTAACAAGTTGTGTAAAATCATCTTCTGACCATAGCGAACCTGTAAGGCCTGCTGTTCCCTCCAGGTGAGTTTGGCATAAGCCTCCTGATTACTGAGTATGCTTTGCTCTGTCTGTAAGTCTGCAGCATAGGCTTGCAGGGTCAACAATACACTGGCCCGAAGAAGCTGTCTCCACGATGCTCTGAGCTTTGGCATCTTGGTGAGTGTCAGGCTGTCCTCTTCTCTGCTGTCATCTTCCCAGTTGTCCTGGTCTTTCAACTCTTCGAACTCCTCAGCAGGCATGCACAGTACCTAAAAGCAACCAGGAGGCCCTTTAGGTACCCCTTGGGTACGTCTGTCTTGGTGGTATTTATTAAAAGTGTCATCTCCCTTCACCCCACCTTTCTCCTCCCATCTCCACTCTCCCAGTCCTTTACCTTGAGTGTGGCAGTCAGCTCCTCTTCAGTTATCACCTCCTCCCGCCCGACCACAAAGGCTCCCTCATCCCCAACCATCTCCAGTTTGCATAAGAAATCCCAACGTTCATATAGTAGCAGCCTTTCAGCTTCAACTTTTGTTCCTGATTGATTTAAAATATAGGGTGATTTAAAACAGAATTGATTTAAAATATAGAATCTACCACCTAGTCTACTCCCACACCCCAGGGACGGCTACTGTTTAGCAGAGCTATTGCAATCGGTGGGAAGTAGAGAGGAATGGGTGAGTAAACAGACACCCACCAGTGTCCAAGAAGGAGCGTTAATTACTCACCCTGTAACGCTGCTTCACGAACGGTCACCATCTGGATGTCAGCGGTGTCGTCAGTATTGCCGGGATATGGCTCAACAAAACCATACATATGAAGCAGTTGCCAATTAGCCATTTGCCCATACGTGTTGAAAATCTCATGGCCTTTAGGAATGGGCTGGGTGGCAACCATCCGAAGACAATCCTAATATGGAAGAGTGACGCTGTAGCCAGGTCAGCCCCAGGACCACCATTCTGTCCATGCCTCCCCTCTCACAAGAGCCAGGAGCTGCAGTTCAGCCTCCAGTCTGATGCTATACCAGTGTGTTTGCCTTTTTTTTTGTTCTTAGTGTTTTTTGATCCTGAAAGGGAGGGGAGAGGCTTAACACAGGTCAGCCTCCAGGTTTTATTAAGGAAACCTCTTGGTTGGCTCATTCATCTTCAGCATTTACAAGTTGCTAGCTTTTAAGGATAGTTTAAAGAACAGTCCTGTCTCCTAACTGATTCGCCACAGCCCTGAGATTCAACACAGTCCTAAGCTACCAAGACAAGTGAGATTAGATGTCCCAAGCTACTGCTGCCCACAGGTCCTCATGATACTTCAACTTGAACTACCCAGAGTAGCCAGGGGAAGACAAAAGGCAGCTGAAGAGAACAAGTAAAGCAGATGTCACCTGGTTTTTAGCATGAATTGGAAAGCCTCTAGCAAATTACCAGGTTAGCATAAATGACACACTGGGTTGAATCACATGGCCCAACTATCAATGCACATAAGGAGAAAAGAACCGGGCAGGATCTACTCACTGGTGAGTATTCTAAATTGGCATTATGATTAGCTACGTGGTTTAGGATGTCTGCAGCAGGCACCATCAAAGGGGAGTTTGGCTCCTTTTCATCATCATCTTCCTCTAGTGGTTCCTGAAAGCTGACAGAATTTGGCCCAGTGTTGGGTGAGGGTGTAATTTTCACTATTGCCCCACAGAGTATCCTAGGCTGCAATCTTCAGGTGATCGCGCCCCACCCGCCAGCTGCTGGGTGGCTTCTACCACCAATAGTTCTAACAGGCCAGGGTCCATCAAGGTTCTCACACCTGTAGGCCATTACAAGGGCCACGAGCTGCTGGTAGAGTTCCAGGGAGCGAACCCTGGGGCTGAAGAGATCAGGATGGGCTTCCATGAACGGCAGCACGATGGAATTGTACTCTCTGCGAATGTTGGCCAAATCCTTCTCCACGGCCTCCAGCACACCTGTGCCCTGCAGCAGTCGCCTGCGTTCCTCCTCGGGCCTGTAGTAGTGACAGCCACATCCAAGTTCCCTTCACACACACTACCAGGGCGGTCGCTCCAGGGCCCCGGTCTTCGGGACCGCGTGGCTGAACCTGGCTGCGCTTCAGGCACTCCCGAGCCCGCCCCACGACTCTCACCAGAACATGGGGTGCTCCAGGTGGTCGAGCTCGGGCCAGAGCGCGAAGTAGGGGTTCCAGAGCGAGGTCGGGGCCTGTAGTTCGTGGAGTAGCGCCAGCAGCAGCGGCACCCAACCCGACTGGCTCTGCAACGCGCCTTGCTCTGCAGGAGACGCAGGGGTGAGGGCTGGGCAGCGCACGGGGCGACCCCCGTACCTTCGCCCGCCGGCCGTCCTGCCCACCTCGCTCCAGCAGGCCGCCGATGGCGCAGGTGTGCGGGGACAGGAGAGCGGCCCGCGGCACCGTGAACAACAGCTCCCCGGGCTGTACGCTCTCGCGGGCCACCATGCCGTAGCCGGCCACCGTGCCCTGCCGGCTCACCGCCACCTGTGCAAGGGGCCGGGATGATCAGGGCTGGCCCGCGCCTCCGCGCCCCAGCCGCCCACTCACTCGCTCACCTTGGGGCTCAGCTCCAGCCCGACCCGCTCGCACCAACTCAGGAAGCCCGTTACCGGGTCCAGATCCGCGTCGCCATCGCCGCCGCCGCCCACGGGCTCTGCCACCTGAGACAAGGGAGGGCAGTGTCGAGCAGAGTCCCCTCGGGCGGGAGAGGACGGCGGCGCGCACGCAGGCCGGGCCACGGGTGCAGGAGGGCCGCGCAGGCAGGGACCCTCGGAGGGGGACCTGGTAGGGGTGAGACGCGCTTGCGCTGGCTGTCGCGAACTCACCCGCCTACGCTTAACCGAAGTCGCCATAGTCCAAACGCTCAAGACCCCGCGGGTAATGGATCCGGCGACTGCTTCCGGCGCCGGCCTCACGCCCCCGGGGCGGGGCCTTATGGACGGGCGGGCCGCAAGCCATGGTCCCGCCTCGGAACTGGGACCACATGGTTTCAGCTTCCACACTGGAGAGTTAGAGCTGTGAGGATTAACAAGAAGATAGTTGTTCCTGAAAACTTCCTTATTGAGCCCCAAACCCTCTGCCAATCGAGTCGATTCTGACTCATAGCGGCCCTATACTGGATTTCCATGACCACAAATCTTTACGGGAGCTGACAACCTCATCTTTTCCCCATACAGCGACTGATGGACTTGAACTGCCAACCATACAGTTAGTAATCCACTACACCTGTAAATTTCTCTCGCTCTGTATTTAAAGTTCAGGTGTCCCCAGTTGAAGGCTCCTGAAAGGTCGGGCGGTTGAATCCACCAACCACTCTGCAAAGATTGTGGCAGACCACTTTGTAAACATTACTATCTTGGAAATCCTACAAGGCAGGTCTCTGTCCTATTAGAGAGTCTATATATATGTGTCAGAATCGGCTCCCCAGTGTGGTCTGAGTACAGGGAGAAGTGACCCTATGACCCCTGGAACCTGCTTCGGATCCAGGTACAACCCTCCCTTTGATGAGTCTCTAAGAGCTGGGACCACTTGAGGGGGAAGTCTGGGCACCAAAACAAATTCAGTTTCTGGATCAGAAGCCAAGGAGCTGTTGCTGGCTGGAGGAAAAGGCATTCAGGTGAGCGTCCAAAACCCACCCCTCCAGTTTTCCTGCTGTTAGAGAATTCTGTGTATATCTGTTCCAGAGTGAGGTTCCCAGATTTAGAATAGACCCTCTTCCCACCCACCTCCACACACTAACACATATCCTTCCCGGTTTCACCTTCTGCATAGTACATATTGCCTGTTGTTCCATGAATGCTTCTTTATTAGCAGGCATTTAACCGGGACTCTACTGAATGTGATAATTAAGATTTTGTGTCAACTTGAGTGGGCTAGGATCCTCAGTTGAGATGTAGCTATCTCCCATGATGTGATCTGATGTGATAAACCAGTAAGAGGATTAAGGGTGAGATCATTGTTAGGTGGTATTGAGTCAGCTCTGACTCACAGTGACCCTATGCATAACAGAACGAAATACTGCCCAGTTATGTGCCATCCTCACAATTGTTACTCTTGAGCTCACTGCTGATGCCGCTGTGCCAACCCATCTCCTTGGGAGTCTTCCTCTTTTTCGCTGACCCTCCACTTTACCAAGCATGAGGTCATTAAGGGATTTGTCCCTCCTGATAACATGTCCAAAGTATGAGAGAGAAAGTCTTGTCATCCTGGCTTCTCGGGAGCATTCTGGCTATACTTCTTCCAATACAGATTTGTTGCTTCTGATGAGTCTTCTCCAACACCACATCACCATAATTCAAATGAATCAACTCTACGGTCTTTATTAATTGTCTATCTTTCAAATGCATATGAAGCTATGGAAAATATCATGGCTTGGGCAAGGTACACCTTAGTCCTCAAACTGCTTGCTATCTTTACTCGTGAACACCTTAAAGCAGTCTTGTGCTCCTTCCATGAGTGTTGATTGTGGATTCAAACAAAAAGTCTTTGACAACTACAATGTTTCCCCCATGTATCATGATATTTATTGGCCCAGTGGTGAGGATTTTTATTTTCTTTACATTGAGGTCAACCCATACCACCCTTACTCCTACCACCACCCTGATCTGATTCATGAGGGAGTCTTCAAGGGTGTGGTATGCAACACCTTTGACCCTACAAGAGATAAAAGGAGAGAAATTTGAGCAACAGAGGGCTCTACTACCACCAGGCACCACTCGTCTGTCAGTTTGTCATGCTGTGGTGGCAGTGATGATGGAAGCTATTGTAAATACCAGCAGGGTCACCCATGGTGGACAGATTTCAGCTGTTCTTCCGGAGTAAGACAGACTACAAAGGAGAGGCAGGTTCCTCCCTGGAAACCTCACAAACAGCAGTGAAACCCTGCTAAAGAGCACCAGGACATTGAAGGTTGAAACATGAAGAGCACCAGAAGGTTGACAGATAGAGTGCCCGAAGATGAGCCCCTCAGGCTGGAAGAAACTCAAAATACGACTGGGGAAGAGCTGCCTCCTCACAGTAGAGTTGATCACAATGACACAAAGTAAAGCTCTTGGGATCTTCATTTGCTGATGGGGCACAATTCAAAATGAAGAGAAACAGCTGTAAACATCCATTAATAATCGGAACACAGAATATTCAAAGTATGAATCTAGGAAAATTGGAACTGTCAAAAATGAAATGGAACACATAAACATCGATATCCTAGGCGTTGTTGTTAAGTGCCATTGAGTCAGTTCCAACCCATAATGACTCTGTATAGGGTTTCCAAGGAGCAACTGGTGAGCTTGAACCTTGTAGTTTAAATGACTTTGCAGTCTGGCACATTAACCCACAGGATTCCTAGTAAGCTAAAATTGAATGGCATTGGCTGTTTTAAATCTGACAATTATATGGTTTACTATGCTGGGACTGACAAATTGAAAAGGAATGATATTGCATTCATCATTAAAAAGAACATTTCAAGATCTATCTTGAATTATAATGCTGTCTGTGATCGGATGATATCCATACACCTACAAGGAAGCCCACTATTATTTAAGTTTACACACCAACCACTAAAACCAGTGATCATGAAATTAAAGAATTCTACCAAGTTCTTAGTCTGAAATCGATCAAGCATGCAATCAAGATATATTGAAAATTACTGGCGACTGGAATGCAAAGGTTGGAAACAAAGAGGAAGATCAGTAGCTGGAAAATATAGCTTTGGTGATAGAAACAACGCTGGAGATCGCATGATAGAATTTTGCAAGACCAGTGACTTCTTCATTGCAAATACCTTTTTAAAATAACATAAAAGACAACTATACACATGGATCTCACCAGATAGAATATACAGAAATCAAACTGACTACATCTAATGGAAAGAGATGGTGGAAAACTCCGTATCATCAGCCAAAACAAGTCCAGGGGCAGACTGTGGTACAGACCATCAAATGCTCATATGCAAGTTCACGCTGAAGCTGAAGAAAGTCCACAAGAGCCAAAATATGACCTTGAACATATCCCAAGAACAGATTTGGTGCATTAGACACTAATGACTGAAGAGCAGAAGAGTTGTGGGATGACATCAAGAACATCATAAGAAAGCAAAAGGTCATTAAGGAGACAAGACAGAAGAAAAAGATCAAAATGGATGTCAGAGAGACTCTGAAACCTGTTCTCCAATGTAGAGATGCTAAAGCAAATGGCAGACATGAGGAAGTAAAACAGCTGAATAGAAAATTTCATAGGGCTTCAATCTGTACACTTAACAAATAATCCAAGAACCTGAATTATACGAAGAGGGACGTGGCATCAGGATTGGGAGAAGGCTCATTCACAACCTGGGATATGCTTGCTCTTGTTAGGTGCCAGCGGGTCGGTACCGACTCATAGCAACCCCATGCACAACAGAGCGAAACCCTGCCCGATCCTGGGCCAATCTCACAATTGTTGCCACACTTGAGCCCCTTGATGCTGCCACTGTGCCAATCCATCTCGTTGGGGGTCTACCTCTTTTTATCTGACGCTCCATTTTACCAAACATGATATCCTTCTCCAGTGACTGGTCTCTCCTGATAATATGTGATATGCAGATGATACAACGTTGCTTGCTGGAAGTGAAGAGGACTTAAAATACTTACTGATAAAGATCAAAGACTACAACCCTCAGTGTGGATTGCACCTCAATGTAAAAAAAAAAAAAAACCAAAAATTCCTCACCACTGGACATCATGATAAATGGAAAAAATGTTAAAGCTGTCAAAATATTTCATTTTGCTTGGATCCACTGTCAACACTCATGGAAACAGAAGTCAAGAAATCAAACAATGTATTACATTGGCAAACCTGCTGCACAAAACTTCCTTAAAGTGTTTAAGAGCAAAGATGTTAGCTTCAGGATTAAAGTGAGCCTGACCCCAAGCCGTGGTATTTTCCATACTCATATATGTCTGTGAAAGTTGGACTATGAATAAAGAAGACTATAGAAGAATTGATGCATTTGGATTATGTTGTAGAAGAATATTAAAAATACCATGAACTTCTAGAACTAACAATTATGTTTTGGAAGAAGTACAGCCAGAATGTTTCTTAGACACCAGAATGGCAAGGCCTCGTCTCTCATACTTTGAACATACTATCAGGAGGGCCAAATGCCTGGAGAAGGATGTCATGCTTGGTAAAATGGAAGGTCAGTAAAGAGGAAGACCCCCAATGAGATAAGACTGGCCCAGTGGCAGCGGCAGTGGGCTCAAGCTTAGCAATGGGCAGTGTTCCATTCTGATGTGCATAAGGTCACTAAGAGTTGGAAGTGAGTCAATGGCACCTGACGACAACCACCAAGATGGAAGAGCCAGGAGTAAAGTGAGTTCTTTGGACCTGGGGCCCCTTCACTCTGAAGCTCCTAGATCCAGGGGAAGATTGATGCCAAGATGTATGGAAATTTTCAAAAAATACTAGACCTACAGATGCCGAAAGGAAACAAGGACCTTTCCCCAGAGCTGACAAAGGGAAAGCCTTCTACAAGTCTATACTCTGAATTTGGGCTTCTAGCCTCCTTAACTGTGAGAAAATAAGTCTCTGGTAAATTCACCTACTTGTGGTATTTCTGCTACGGCAGCATTATAGCTAAGACACCAAGTAAAACACGGGCAGCTAAGTAACTTGCTGTTAAACAACCAGGCGATGGGTACGCATGGGTTTGAAGTCAAACAAGGCTGAATTCAGCTTCCACCAGGGGGCGCTCTGTCTCACGGCAAATCCCTTGTCCTGAAGGGCAGTTTCCTCATCTGTAAAGCCTAGGTAATATCCATCCTGTAGAATTAAGAATTTGCAAAATAATGTGACAAGTGCTGGCAATGGAGACGGTCCCTGGCCTCCCCCTGCACCCTCCACACGAGAAGTACCGGCCAGAACATTCACATGGCATCAAACCACACTCAAATTCTTCTAGTGTCTTTATTAACTTTTCAGCACAGTTAACTTTCTCCATTGACAAGGGTTTTTGTTTTACATTTTGTCATCTCAGTCTCATGACAGCAGCCACCAGAATACACAAAATTAGGCTCTTCACTTTGTACAGAGAAGAAAATAATAAACTCCATGAAAAGTTCAACTTGACTGGAGAAAGCAAACAGCGGCTACCTCCATTGGAAAACCACACACAGGAGGACCCGATATACATATATTTATATACGTACTGTATAGGCATTTATAGATATCTCATCTGAAAAAACACAGCAAAGTTAAAAAACAAAACAAAACAAATCCAAGGTTCGCAGTGCTATCTACAGTAACAGGGATTAATTCTACCAGCTTTTCAAACAGTCACATTCCAGAGTCAAAGGAAGCGCACGAGGGACTAGAACTGGGTAACACTCGGCGGGGCTATAGTCTAGTCTAGTAATGGCTTCAGATTACAGAAGGGGGTGGGCGATGTGTGCAGGGGGAACATACCCATACAGGTGTCCTAAGCCTCAGAACACCCCCCATGCCCCCCTCCCTCTTCACAGCCCTTCAGTTTTCTTTGCTGTCTCCCCTCTCTTTTGGCTCGTTTTGGGGTTTGTGGTGATTGATTTAAACTCAGAGCCAAATAAGTCCTGGTTTCTGAGCCGGGAGATTCTACCTGGTAAGGTGGGTGGGTGGGCAGGAAGTACATGCACGGTCCTGGGCTTCAGAGGCAGGTGGAGGCTGGGGGGTGGGGGTGGGGAGGGAGCCTCCCACTCCAGGAGAAAGTCCCAGCCTCAGTCCGCTCCATGAGTGAGATAAGAGAAGGCAGGCGGGGGTTCACACCCGTCTCTGCGCATGAACGCGTTCTTAGTGATGTCTACATGAAAGGTTAACATAGATTGACCAGCAGTCTCCCTAGAAATACCACAAGCCACCTCCTGACTGGGGCACTGCAGCAACTCTCAGCCAACACCGTCTCCGACCACCCACTGCTACCCACCGACATCACATTCAGGTTACTCCAGCCTTTTCCCTTAGCTCCCAGTCAGGTTACCATGGAGATGGTCAACTTCTACCTCAAGGACAGGACCAGAATGTGGCGGGTTGGAAGGGGCAGTCTGTGGGGTTCCTCAGAATCTACGTGTTCTGTCTTCCATGAGGAGAGAAACTCCCTTTGAGAACTCTGCCTACCTGGCCCTCCAGTACCAGCCAGGTCCAGAGAACGCCAGAAAAACAGCTGCTAGGAGCGCCCCCTTGTGGCTATTATTCAGATGATTGTCACAATTACTTAAAAACAAAAACTGATGTGCTTGGTGCAGGGGTTGGGGAAGTGGGTCTCTAGCGTTCCGGGGCTCCTCGACCCCCAGTGCTCCCTGCTATGGTCTCCTGGCACTGGACCCCTGCTCCTGCTGGTCCAGTACCCACACCTCCTGAAACCTGCTTGCCCAAAGGGTCATCCCATGCTCTGTTCTGGATTCTAGGAGACTTTCCCAGCTCCTGGCCAAAGGAGGACTCAAACTCTTATCTTCCTCCCTGTACCCCTGCCCTGGGCCACTGGGAGGTGGGTGAGACGGATTGAATTCCACCAAGTTACGTTGAGTGAGTTGGGGGTGGGGAGTAGTGAGCCCTTCATACCATCTGGACACTATTCACTACAGCATCTAAGATAGACCCCCTCAATTTTTTTTTTAAACAAAAGATTAATAACCCCACGTCCACCCCTACACCCTCACAAAAATAAACTAAAGGGAGAATGAGCAGGCGCAAAGATGGCGGTGGGATGGTGGGTCAATGCGGGCGGGCGGGTGGGCATCTTCATCAGAAACCAAGGCTTCAACAGGACACTTCCATGGTGTGGTTGACCTGGCCCAGCCCCTCGGCGCTCTCTGAGTGGGTGCAGGGCTGCGGACGACTGCCATCCACTGAGCTGGCACTGGTGAGGGAGGCGGTGCGTGAGCGGGCCAGGCGGGTCATACTGGCCGAAGGCACTGTGGGTAGAGATGGGACAGGCGTGAAGACCAGGAGGCAGGCTCAGGCACCAGCAGACAAGGAAAGGATACACGAAAGCAAAGCAGCCAGCGAGACTCCATCTTCCAAGTGCACCCGGGGCCTATTCCAAGCCAGGTCTCTGGTGGCTGCTCCGTCAAGCCGAGGCGAGGCATGCACTGTCAGCGAGGGAGCTAGAGAGTCAGGCACAGGCCAGCAGGCCCCCTCTCAACGTCTGACCAGAGCCGTGGCCAGCCTTGAGTGGGAGCTGACCTGGCACCTGGGAGCTGGTACAGGGATGTGACATTTCCAACTCTGCTTCCCTCAAGAGGCAGTTGCAGGGAGAGTGGTTAGAACTGCTCCCGGAAAGGAGGTGGCCTCAACTGACCTAAATCAGTGCATCCGAAGTTTCATCAGTGAGACTTGCAGGGAGCAATTCTACCCTCCTGAACTCAACCAAGCTGGGCACCACTGACCCCAGTGGCTGGGCACCACTGACCCCAGGGCCAGGTCTGGGCTCCGCCTCTGTGAACATAGCTTCCGTATCCAACTCCCAAAACATGGAAAGCCCATGGCAATCTAGAAGCAAAAATGCTTGAAAGCCCAGCTAATCTAAAGCCCCACAGCAGGCCAGACCCCGTGGTGGCCAGGACCTGCGTAAGAGCAGGCATCTTTGGAGTTTGGGGGTTGAGCAGGACACATGAAGGCTCCAAACCATAGCAAGAGGCGGCCTGGCTGTAGCACTGCACAGAGAAGAGGACAATGGGAGGCTGGGGGCGGGGAGGTGTCCATGCATGGTGGGAGTCGGCCACAGGGCTACCTGCTCCTCCACTCAGCCTTCGGTCCTTCAAGTACGCAACTAAGAGAGAAGACAGAGCCAGAGAGGGGCGGTGGGTGGGGTGGGGAGACACAGAACACAAATGAAGAGCGTGGTCCACAGGTGCAGAGACACTGAGACAGGCCAAAGAGATGAGACAGAAGAGGGCTGGGGCAGGGCCGGAGCCTGGAGGTGGAGAGCCTCCTCTGGCCCTAGCAGGAAGGAGCCACAGCATGCAAGACGGAGTCCTAACTGTGGGGTGGGGGGTACTTATCTTACCCTGCTTCTCCAGCCTGGGTGCTGGCACTGAGGGGGCCTGGGGGTGTTTTCCCAGGGTTCTTGAGAACACATTCCAGAAGCTGACAAATCTGACTCATACATCTGTCCCACACGTGAGGCCCTGTGGCGTGCCAGTCACCTGGATACCGGCCTCAGCCTCTCTCCGTTCCACTTTCCCAAAGAAACTACAGTCCCTGGAGGCTGGCAGGAATCTGTGTCGGACATGCCCCACCCCCAGCCCTGCCCCTGCTGTCCTCCCTAAGTGGCCCAAGCTCCTTAGGCTCAAGTCTGGAGAAAGGAAAAAAATGAACACATTCAGGGAAAGAAGGCTGCTTCCCAGTAGAGGAGCCAGTAGGGTGGAGTGTGTGGCTGTGTGTGTAGGTGTGTGCATGTGTCTATGTGTGTGTGCTTTTCAGAGGGCACACGAGCACAGTCTGGGAGTTTCCTCATCCGGGCACAGAGGAAAACTTGGGGAGTACCAGGGAGGGGTTGAGGGAAGAACCCAGTGATACCTCCTACTCCTATTACCTCAGGGCCCTCAGGTATTTCTCCCCAGGTTCGGCTGCCTTCAGCTCTCCTGACACCCAGAGGGTTCCACCTGCCCTCTCTGGTCCCCACACTCACTCCAAGTCCACTCCCATGATGCCCCTGGACACCACCCACTATCTATGATAGAAGGATTTCTCAGGTGCTGTTTGAACTGCAAGGTTGGCGCTTCAAGCTCACCAGTTGCTCCTTGGAAACCCTACACCGGGTCGCTATGGATCAGAATCGATTCAATGGCACTTAACAACAACAAACAATAAGGAACTCTGGGTAGCGTAGTGGTTATGAACTGGGCTGCTGCTAACCTGAAGGTCGGCAGTTAGAAACTACTAGCTGTTCCACGGGAGAAAGATGAGGCTTTCTGCTCCCATAAAGATTTGCAACCTCGGAAACCCTGTGCAGGGTCGCTATGAGTCGGAACCAACTGCACAGCACATAACAACAACGACAGGCCCAGCTATATACCCCCAGAGCCTGTCAGGAATAAGAGGTGTGTCCCTTTGCAAGACCCAGCCCTACCTCTGTCCCCAGGGCTGGGGGAAGGGCCCGGGCCCCACCACCACCATGGGCCCAATACTTCAACCATAACAGTGCCCAGGGCCTCCCCAGGGCACAAGAGAACTGTGGTCCTGAGATGCTCAACTTACAATGGCAGAGGAAGCAGCCTAATGGGGTCACTGCGTATCTTCCACAAACTCAGGAGGATGTAGTGAGAGTGAGTCAGCATCCTGGGTCCAGGTGACAAACAGTTCACTCCCCGCTCCCCCAGGCTTCCCGGAGCCACCAGACACCTGTGTGTCAGCCCGAACAGCTAACCCCCACCTAGCAGCCTGCCCAACCAGTCTCCAGGGAGGGGAGTAAGGGGGGCGTACTTACTGTAGCCCATGCCTTGCAAGAAGTACTTGAAGGCTTCAGTCAGCTTCCCGGGCTGCAAGAGGGTGGGACAGGGAGCTGCTTAGACTGGCTACCTGGAGTGAGGGAGGCTTCCCTCACCTCTGGGTCAGTGATGCAAACAAGGGAGGGGCCAAGAGCCTCACCTGTGTGACCTGGGGGAGCCCCCCGGAGTCAGCCATCTGCAAGAGAGCGCGTGGGTCAGTTGAAAGGGGTCGCCCCACCCTCACCTTACCACACTGACAGAAACCCCTGACCAAATACACCGTCCTGCTCCCGTCTTTGAAAAAGCCCCAGCAGGCCCCCCAGGACAATTCCTCCCTGAGGTTGGGCCCTGGTTGGGCAGGGAAGGCCTCACCTTTAGGAAGGTTGTGGTTGTGGGATCCAGTTTAGAGTTGCACTCAACCTGAGGACAAGGAGCCAGCTTCAGTAGAGAGCAACGGCCCTCCAGCCTGAGGGAATGGGGTGGGTGTGTGGGGGGGCAATCCCAGTCAGTTGCTAAGGTGGCTCCTAGACCCAGAGCTGAGGGGCTCTTCTGGCAAGGAGAGGGGAGTTCGGGGGAGGCATAGACTCAGCCCCTAGGACTCGGGCAAAACGGCTTCTCCTCAAGCCAAGTCCCAGGAGGTCAGTCAGCAGTGCCCTCAGGGTCTCCCCTCACAAGGGCTGAGGGGCCGGGGTGGGGGAGTAGCCTGGGAAAGCAGCAGGGACCACAAGACCCAGTCAGGGCAGTGACCCTGGGCAGGGTCAAGTTGGCTAGGACAGCCCCCACCTCTGTTCTGCTGTGTCCTCCTTGAGTTTGCACACCTGGGACTACTGCCCTGGGCACCCTGAACCTCCCCCAAAGTCACCACTGTACTGAAGGGGACATATCACCCCAGGATGCCTGCTCCCAGAATCCATGGTTCCCAAACGGATGCACAGTGGTAGCCAGACAGACTTACTTCATCACATTATAAAAAAGAGCTCTTAGGCTCTGGGTCCAAAGTGAGTAGACACTAAGTTGGGGGATGCACAGCTGCGGGGGCAAGAAGGGGCCATAGGGTGGCCCAGCCCTATCTCTGCACTGCCTCCCCCAGCATTTCCATACCTCCCTCACCTGAAGGATGGGGAGAGGAACGCCAGGAGGTGACAAGTGGTAAGGTGACATTTAGTGGGATGAGAAGTCCAAGGCGCACGGCTTAGTTACCCCCAGGCTGGTGGGAAAGGGGCCCTGCTGGCCAGAGCCAACAAAGAGCCCTTCTCCCTGTGTGGGGAGGCATACTCACCACGCCATCCTCTGCAGGAGCGTTATCCCCAACTACCAGCATCACAGGGCAGCTGCAGACAGAGGAAAAAGGGCGTCTGGTCTGGGCAAAGTGGGGCAAAAGCAAGGGCGGGCAGGGGGGTGAAGGGCACTCACCGGAGTGTCTTGGCATTGGGCACTGTCCCAGGCCGGTTAATGTCCAGGTCCCTGCGGCTGGGGTGGGGACAGAGACAGAGGTGGGTATCCCAGCAGAACCTGGCACTGTGGCTATTACCCTACATTCCCAGACCTCCAGGGCTGGTCCAGAGCCACAGAGCTGGGCTCAAAGGTCACCCACACAGGGCTCCTTTGTTGGAACAAGCCATGCCAGTTCATTGTAAAGTAGGGAAACACAAATCTGCCCCTCACCCATGACTTCTTCCCAGACCCCCAAACCCAGGTTTTTGTTAAGTGCTGTTGGGCCCGTTCGGACTCAGAGCGACCTATATAGGGTTTCTGAGGAGCGGCTTGTGAGCTTGAATCTGTGGGGGTTCACATGTTTCTCCCCTCGCCATCAGAGTACACACTATGAGGTACAGCACCCTGTAATGTAAGGTTTCCGGTATCAAACTGTCTCTCAGATACGGGGACAGGCAGGACAGGGATGGTTGTCAGCGCCATTTTCATGCAGGCTTAATAAACATGAGAGGGCTCCAGAAAGTTCATGGGAAATGGAATTCAAAGATAATGAAAACATCCACAACTTTTGAAAGCCCCCATAGAGTATTTGTCAGAGGTGGAGAAGGGAGGCAGATGGGGCAACACAGGACCTCCCAGATGCTCAGTCTGTTCCTCTACAAAGGAGGGGAGCTGTCAGTTGAGCTTGTCCTGCCTCCTATGGGTGGTTGTGGGGGGCCCTCCAAGTGTGTTGCCCCACCCCCACCTGTTGTACATGTTCCAGAAGAGCTGCAGGTTGGCCTGGTTCACCACGTTCCCGATCTGCTGCCGGTAGCTCTGTACCAACTCCGTGTTGTTCATCAGCTCCTCCTAGGTCCCAGGAAGTGGAGGGGGTACACAGAGGGGAGCGGACTGAGGGGCTCAGAGGGCTGGTGTGCAGGGGTCATGACCAGAACAGCCCTTGCCTGCCTCTGGATGGGCAGGGTATCGGGGGGCTGGGTTCCTCCCCACCCCCTGCTTTTCTAACTCGGTAGACACAAGTTTTAACAGAGCACAGTGAGAACCCACACCCCTGGGAGTGGAGGGAGTGAGCAGACCCAGGCTCTTCAGCCAATGCTTCATAAACCCCTTTTAGCCCAGATCCACAGAAGCCCGGACCTTGTTCCTACCTGGCTGAAGAGATGGGATAGCACCGTGTCAGGTAAAGTACTGGTCAGGCCAGAGAGCTGCAGGCCGAGGGGGAAGCCAGTATGACAGCCCGACCTTCGTGTCCCCACCTCCCATCCCAGGGCGGCTGTGGCCACACTCACCTTAGTGGCCGCCCAGTCGATCCAACCTTTGCCGTTGGGGTCAATGTTCATCAGCACCAGCCCCTCGACCAGGTCTGGGAAGATGAGCTGCAGTGTGAGAAGATGGAGACAGGCCTGGGTGGGAGGCCCCATGTTCCCACCTAAAAAACAGGCTTTGAACTGGCTCTGTGGATGGATCTCACAGGTGGCTGGGAGCGTGTGAGCAGATGGAAACACGGCAAAGGCTTCATGGTACCATTGATGAGCCAGTGGGCTGCAGCTGAGAGCCCACCTGGGTTATTCCCAGATGCCCACGGACCTTCCTTGCTCCCCTTGTTACTATTGTTAGTTCCTATCCAACCTGAGTGAAGTAAACAGTTTGCACTGCACTGCTAACTAAAGGTTAGTGGTTTGAACTTACCCAGCAGTAACACGGAAGAAAGTCCTGGCAATCTGCTTCCATTAAGATTATGGCCAAGAGGAAATGTAGACGGTTTGTAGCAAGGAGGGGAGTGATTAACTTTTCAGCCTAGGAGCGGAGGTCCCTGGGACCATCAAGGGAGAAGAGTGGAAAGCATGTGATGCCTGAGATGGAGGCAGAGACGATGGAGCTATTGGGGACTGTAGACATAGAGAGGGAGAAAGGCTGTGTGCCGATAACTGGGGGGCAGGCTTGTAGTGTATACCCTTTGGTTGGTTGATGATGCATGGAGGGGATTGTAACCACAGCAATGAAATGATATACGATAGGATGAATGTAAAACTAATGTTCGCCCATGTAAACTATCACATAATTCACAATAAAACATTAAAAAAAAAGATTATGGCTAAGAAAACTCTATGGAGCAGTTCTCTGTTCACGCATGGGCCTGCCTGCCTGGCTCCTCCCTCTCCATTGATGTTAAGTGTCATCAAGTCCATTTTAACTCAAGGTGACCTTGTATAGGGTTTCCAAGGAATGACTGGTGGGTTTGAACCACTGACCTTGCAGTTAGCAGACCAGTGCTTACCCTGCAATGCCAGAGCAGGACCCCTCACTACCCAAAGCCTGTTAAAATTCTTTGCTTTATTTAGAAGCAACAAGTCTATCACTGCATTCCATTGCTTTGAATATGAACAGCGACAAGTAAGTTACACATCTTACACATTTAGTGGGATGAGTCTTACACAGACCACCTTGTTCCATTTCGCATTGTTCCTCTACCCTCTTAAGAGAAAATGAAGCCCCAAAGATTCAAATGTAGAAGTTGGCCTTTTTACAGTTGCTTTGTATTAGACACCGTAACCAAACCAAATCCACTGCTGTCAAGCTGATTCCAAATCACAGTGACTGTACAGGACAGAGTAAGACTGTTCCCGTAGCTCCACACCCTTAGTGGAGGAGAACTGTTCCAAGACTGGAACCTTTACAGAAACAGACCGCCATATCTTTCTCCTTTGAAAAGGCTGGTCAGTTCAAATTGCTGGCTTTACAGCTGAGCCCCTTGGTGATTTGCATTTTCTGTTTAACTGCCTGTGTTTAATGAAAAGTGGTAATATACCGTTGTTGTTAAGGGCCATGGAGTCAGCTCCAACCCACAGCAACCCTGTAGAGGGTTTCCGAGAGTAGCTACTGAGCTTGAACTGCCAAATAGGTTTGCAGTCTGGTGCATTAACCCACACTGCCACATCGATTTGCCAAGTTTGTCTGAGGTGTCAGGGAATGGTCTATAGGGAACAAAACAGTAATGTGCTGAAAGTCTACAACTGGAGTTGAAAATACCTGGTCATCTGTGGGTTTTGGTTTTTTTTTTTTGTATTTAAATTTTTGTTGTTAAGTACATACAGTAGGTCCTACCCCATTCAACAGTTTCTGCCTGTACATTCAGTGGCATTGATTATATTTTTCGACTTGTGAGACCCTTCTCAACCTCCATTTCCAAGTTGTTCCTCCTCTATTTACATAAACTCACTGTCCCCTCAGTTTCTTATCTAATATTTTGAGTTGCTGTTGTCAATTTGACCCCATGTAGACAGATCCTACGGGAACTTAATGCTCAAGCAGATGTTCTTTATTAGTTAAGCTAAACTACTGTTAGGTTTTACATAGACTTCAGGGGATATTTTTGGTTTAAAGTTTAAAGACAATGTTAGGGCAATAGTTTCAATTCAGGTGTTTAATCAGACTGAATGGCTCCAGAAAGTGTGGATTCCATAGTTGGTCATTTGCTTTGATGAAAGGCATATTTTGAATCCTAAAATTTAAATGTCTGTTTTTAGAGATGAGAAGCTTGTGGGCTCCTACCCAACATGATGGCTTCAAACATGACTTTCTTTAAATCTCACAAACTTCATCCAAGTGTAACTGGCGGGGGGTGAAAATACTTCATGTTTAGCTACTACCTTAATGAGTGAAAGGCAATATTTACTTAGAGGTTAGCACAATTAATCTGTTAACAGAAGTTTTGATTTTGAATCATGATTAAGCAAGTTAGTTTGCTGAGGATATGTATAAAAAAAGTAATCTGTTTTCAAAGAAACAGTAAATTTTCTGGGACGAGTCGGGAGGGGTGGAGGGTGGGGAGGAGATGAAAGCAAGCAGGGAGCCAGGTGATGCAGTGCCATGGGCAGGGCAGGGGGCTTTGGGGCACTTACGGCAAACTTGGCTAGCACGTAGGCTCCGGCTCCCACTCCGATGCCGATCACATACTTGAACCTGGCAGAGTGTGGCTGGTAAATCTAGGGGTACCATTCCCCATGGATGCCCCAGTCCCCTTCTATGGGGTGGTACCACCCAGATCAGACCCCACCAGCAGCCCTCAGCTGGAGCCTGGTTGCTCTGTGGCCTGGGGGCTGGGGTGGGCCAGGACTCACCCAAAATGCTGCACCACACTGGGAAGCATGGCAGCCAACTGCTCCATGGAGGGGAACTGATACCTGCAGGCAGAGCAAGAGGTCAGGGTGCAGGGGCAGCCTGGGGCCCAGAGCTGGAGAAAAGTTGGGGGACCTACCCCTGAGGAAACTGCGATGCCCCCACTTGCTGCCCGGGGGCATCCACGTGGCACACCACAAAGTGCTTGGTGATCTCCTGCATGTCCTCAAAGTTGAAGAAGGTGTTGAAGCACAGCTTGTCTGCAAAGACACATTTCTCAGCTGAGGCGGAGCGGGGCGGGGCGGGGTGGAACGGGTCTGGGCAGGAAAGGCTAAGAGGGCAGGTGGGGCAGAGGTCCAGCTGGGAAACTGAGACCCAGATGGTTAAGGTCACAGAGCCGAGTTGTGGGTCCTGTGAGAAGGGAAGGGGGAAGACCCACTGCTGTGGTGGATATGGGGGACCAGCGAGGGCAGGCACTTACGGTTGAGACCCACGTCATGGTAGGTGAGAATGGCTGGGCGGTTCCCCTTGGGGGAGCCACGAATCACCACGTGCAGAAGGCCATACGGCGTTTCAATGTCGTGTTCCTGGAGGGGACAGAGAATGCTGGACACTCTGGGCAGCCGCCACACCTGGATCTTCTGGGGAACGAGCCTATGGGCTGTAGGGTCATTGGTCCAAGCAACCCCCAGAGAACAGAGCAGATGGAGCGACCCTTCCCAGGCATGTTAAGGAATGACATGAACTGGTCTCATGGAGATGAGCTGGGCCCATGCACACTAGCCAGTAGCCCAGCCCTGCCCTTCACTCAGCCTTCAGGGGTCCACTGAGGCCAGTCTTCTCCATCTTGTGGCAGTTTCCCTACTGACCCTTTCACCTCAACCTGAACGTCTATGCCACCTTGGCACTCCTACGAACCATTCTAGAGTTCCCTGCTCCTGAGGGGGCCTGGCGTCATTAGCCCTGAGTAGGCCATTACCACAGCTGTCAAATCACCATGAGTGGGAGTCACGGCAGCCCCATGTGTGTCCGAGTGGAACTGGGCTCCACAGGATTTTCACTGTGAGTTTTCAGAAGTAAGACTCTCTTCTGAGATCCATCTAGGTGAACTTGGATGGCTAACCTACAGCCTCAGCTGGCATCCTTGGTTTTTCTGCTCAGGTCAGTGGTCCATCGGGAGTAATGGATTCAGATGCTAAAGGTTGGAGACCTAGCCTTGCCACTAGTGTGTGACTTTGAGCAGGGTGGTCACTCCTCTGTACCCATCATGGAGACCCATTTCACAGGCATTCTGTGAGAACCAACCACGTGGAGGTCTGGAGTGTAACACTTGGGGAGGGGGCTGCTGGGCTTGAGGCTCCCTGAGCTGTTCCCACCTGGGGTGCACAGCAGGGTCTGGGACAGGAGGGCTATGGCCGGGGACAGCCCCAGCTGTGGGTCAGGTGTCACACTTTCTCCTATTTGCAGATGGAGAAACATGGGCTCCAAGAGACCTGGACCCCCACACCTGCTGCTGGTTCCCAGGAGCCAGGCTGGAACAGGAACACAGGCCTCCACAGCCAAGCAGCCCCTCAAGGCTTTTTCTGGACCACCTAGAGTCTGAGAGGGGCAGGGCAGGAGTCTTTGGGAGCCCGTGAGTGCTGCATCTGGAAGGCCACCCAGCTCAGGCAGAGAGAATGAATGGGGGCTCTGACAGGAAAGGGGATATGGAGGTGAGGTGGCAGGAGTCAGTTTCTCAGGAACTGGCCTTTTGGGGCCTGAACCCAGAGACCCACTCTCCAGGCCTGTGTCTCTAGTGGGGGATGGTCAGGTAGTGTCAACCAGTGGCCAAAGGCCACCCCTGGGAGCTACACTTCTAGTAAACATCCCTTGTTTATAGGGGAGCCCCACCTCACAGACTCCCCCATCCCCCAGCCCAAAGGAGAGAGGGTCTGTCTAAACAAGGGATGCTCCTGCTCACTGACCACTTGCTAGACACTTTTCTCCTTCACTCATCACACGGACCTCAGCCACAGAGAAGGAAACTAAGGCTAAGAAAGAAGGCCCTGGCCCCTCAGGGGGCAGGTGGGTCCAGCCCCAGATTCCAAGGGCATGTTAGGGGTACAGGCAGCACCTCCACAGCGGGCTGTCCCTGTGGGGATTCCTGCTGTCTGCTTCCCTTCCTCTGGGCTCTGGAGGGCAGGAGGGGCACCCCACACTGGACAGCTGCAATGCGCTTCCTGCAGCATAAAAAACAATTCTCAGCCCCGGGGCAGCATTCACCCTGCGGGACTGGAGTCAGGCTCTGCATAGGCAAACTTCTGGCATCCAGATCTCCCCACTCAAACAGGGGAGAATTTTTGCCCTCCGCTGCTGAGGACGGTTGTCATTCCTGTACAGTCCTGATGGGGCCACTCCGTCCTGATCTCCATACTGACCCTAATAAGGCTCAACTCCCCATAGGCTTGGGCCTGGGCTGGCTGTGGGGGCGCCAAACCCGGACGCCCGGCCTGAACAGCCCAGTGACCTTAGCTACACCTTCTGCTATCCTCCATGCAAACACTCTGACCCGGGTGGGCGCTTAGACCAAGCATCCCAGCCATTGGGATGCTGCACGGGGTGGTGCCCCCCCTCCTGAGCCCACCGAGCGCTCCCATTGGTCCTGGGTGATGTCAGCTGCCCCCCCTCCTAGGTGGGTGCCAGCTGTAGGCACTGCTGCAGTGAGGGAAGGGGCTCTGACGTCCCCTCTAGGCCAGCCCTCTCCCTTTGCCGGTGACCTTGAGGGCTGCTGGGCCTTGGGTACGGGAAGCAGCTGGGGAGCATGAACAAGATGGCAGGGGGCCCATCCTTCCACCAACTGCATCAATAATTCAGGGATGCTGACATCGCCTGAGCTGGGCATGGAACTCACAGTCTGCAGATCAAGCAGGTGGGGTGGGTGGGGGTGGGGGGCTGCCCTTGCCTCTTCTCTCTAGAAGGGTGAATGGCCCAGGCCCTGGGCACCTCCTGCCCTGGGGGATGGAGAGGGGTGCCTGGCACCCACCTGGTGCCATTAGCCCTTTGGGCTTAAGGATCTTGTAATGCCCTCTCCCATCCACAAAATAAGGCATGGTGACCCCTCCTCATCCCCTCTCCCACAGGGGCCACTGCCTGCAGGCAGCCGTTTGCCGTGGTGATGGCTGAGATTTCCCTGCCTCTGCCTGGCTGGCACCGAAGTGCCCTGGAGACCACGGAGAAACCTCACATGTAGCTCAAGGGAGAAAGAGGTTGCGTGCCCTTCAACGCCAACACGAGTCTAGTCACCCAAACAACCACCGCTGCTACCACCCCGTTAGCCCCCTCCCACAACACACAGGGACAGGAGGGCAGCCGCCTGCCGACTGGGGGCTCGGGAGGGCACCCAACACAAGTCACACGCCAGTGACGCGCACACACTGGATGGGCACGCGTACAGCAAGATCCTTGGGGCCACTCGCGCGAATAGCAGACACAGCGCATTCCTTCTCCGCAGAGATGCCACGAGACCCCGCCCTCTCCCAGACTCTGGCTGTCCCCAACCTCTCCTTTGAACCAGGAGGCTTCCGCTCCACCTCCATAAGCCCCCGCGGCGGGGCGCCTGCAGGGCCAGCGCCGGACATAGGGTCCAGGGATCCCAAGCACACTCACCCCGTCCCAGCACTCCGGCATCTTGCGGAGGGAGGCGGTCCCAACTCGACCGGGTAGGACAAAGGCCTGAGTCACTCCGTGGGAGGGGGAGCTCAGCGGAGACTGTCGGCTGTGATGGAGGCCCGGTCCCCCGACATTTATACTCGAATCCAGCCCCGGCCGAGGCCAGCCCCTCCTCCCCGCGGGACTCCGGAGCAGCCACTTGCTCGCCCCGAGCCCCAGCTCTCAGATTGGCTGATGGGAGAATAATCGCGCTCCAATTGGCTTCCGAGGTCCTCGCTTCCCCCGGCCCTGCAGTTGCTGCTCCCGCCCCCAGCACCCAGTATCTGCACACGGGGTCCCAGGAACACACATACACACACACAAACGGGTGTGCCCTGGACACAGCATCAGGCACACGAAAGCTGTTCACAAACATGCACACCCCGGTGTAGAGCATGACAGGACACATATCTGCCCTAGATGGGCACAGCCCTTGACCCATGCCCAGGGTCCCAGCCTCCTGGGGACCACCCAGCATCCCAGAGAGGAAGGTCTGGGAAGTGACAGCTGTTTGGGGGCACCCTGGGGAGTGGCCTTGCTTTAGCTTTAAGGGGATGACTACTTATCCCCTGAGGCAGTCCCCACTGTCTGCCCATCCTGCTTTAAAGGGATTGGTTCTGGGCAGACTGCACATTGCACAGAGGAGCTCCCCCATTCAGCTGCAAGGAGAGGTAGAGGGAGCAGGAACAGACTGGCAGCTGACATGTCCAGCTTTTCCCGGGGCTCCGCGGGCTTGGCTCCCAGGTCTTTGTGGAGCAGGATGCAGGAGCCCCCTTAGGCTCTACACCCCATCTTCCTGAGCAACAAGGATTCAAGGAGGTGGGGAGATGAGTTGGTCTGAGGCACGTATGCGGGTAGAGCCAACAGAGAAGGGGGTGGGGAGGAAGGCAGAAGAAGAGAGGAAATGGGTCAGGGAGGTGAGCAGAGCTGGGAGCCCTAGGGCTCAGGAAAGCGGAGCGACCAGAGCCGAGCTTGCTTCTGCCGGGACTCCGTCTCACTGGGGCAGGAACACAGCACGGCTGCACGCCTGCATTAACAGCCCAGTGACCCTGGAGGAAGGTGCTCCTTCCCACACCTGGGCATCTGACCACCTAGTTAACACTTGCCTGGACAAGTGCCTCTTCCCTCTCTAAGTCCTCTTGCCCTGGGGACTGGAACAGTGCTTGGCCTATCCTAGACATTGGATAAAGTGATGTGACTCTTACTGCACTGGTAAACATTCCCCCCTCCCCCACCAGGGAGCTGGGCTGACCCCTACTCTCAAGTCCTAGTCAAGTTCTCTGTTCTCTGAAGTTGCCTCCGCACAGGAGGAGGCTCAGACCCCTGGGCATCAAGTCTTCTCAGGCGCTTCTCCTAGGAAGGGGAGAGGGTGGAGGTGGTGTCCTACCTGTGTGAGGAATCAGGGTGAGTAAAGCTCTCAGCCAACAAGTCCCTGCTTCCTTCAGCCCCATGTAACACATGCTCACTCCAACCTCTGTTGCCTCAGACAAAGTCCACTCTAAACCACAGTCCCCAATTCTGCTCAGCTCATGGTTTCAAGGAGCACAAAGCTGCTTTACCTAACTGGATTACCTGGGGGAAGTTTGTAACCTCTCTGGGCCTCAGGCTCCTCAACTGTGTCTTCCTCACAGGGCTGCTATGTGGATGGAAAAACCCACACTGCTCCAGACGTGACCCCAGGCCCTGCTCAGGCTCTGGCAGGGGAGAAACAGCACATCTCATGTACCCCTGAACCCACTGCCTCTTCCTCCCCTGGAGTGTTGTGGTCACACCAGGCAGGCTCAGGTCCCCTTCCCTCCCACATGTTTTTTAAAAGCAGGACTGGGTAGCCAGCCAGAGCTCTGCCACTCTATGCTGTGACCTTGGACAAGTCACTCCACCTCTCGGAGCCTCCACTTTTGTAGATGGGAGAAACAGCAGTGGCTACTACACAGCTAGTTACCAGAAGACAAGGAATTCGCAAAAACCTGTGAGAAAGAATGAGACGACAGAGGTTCAGAGTGGGGGAGTTGTTCTCCCACGCAGCAGCGGGACTTGCTGACTTCTACACTCAGGGACAGAGGTCCTATTACTGAGAGTGGCTAACACTTACTGTAATCTCTCCTATGTGCCAACTTCTACTCATGTTATACTGCTTGATCCTTTTGGTATCCATTTTTACAGAGGAGCAAACCAAGGCACAGAGAGGCTAAGTAACCTGTCCAAGGCCACACAGCTAGTGAGCACAGGGCCAGGAGGGTCTGAGTGTTTGGCCTGCAGACACACCACGCCGGTGAGGTCTGAGCTCCCTGTCCTCAATGTCACATGACCAGTACGCAGCAGAGTCAGAACTAGATCCAGGTCCATTTGGCTCTTGCTTGTCCCTCTGCCTGTGCCTGTGAAATGGGTTCAAAGCCCTGCCCAGGCCTCAACCTAGATATCAGCCAAACCTGTGACTACTCTTCAGACAAAAAAAAAAAAAAAAAAGAAAAGAAAAGAGATAGACTCTGGCATGGAAAGGAAGGTGATGTTTTTAAAAAAAAAAACAACAAAAACCACAGGCTGTCCTTTACCAGGGGAAGGGTCCCAGCAAGTGGGGACGCACACATTGTAGGCGCTGCCCCTGGTTGTGGGCCCAAAGTGTGAAGGACTTGGTCTGCTGGTCTTCAAAGGGCTCCGTGGGCAGGGAAAGTGACTTCAAAGGCGCAGACCCAGCATGTGGGGAGGTGGCAGGGACCTCCTCCAAGAGCCTGGACCCCCCAGCCCAGACCCTGCTCAGCACCCCTAGATGAGACACTGGTGTGTCAAGACAGGATCCCCTCCCCTACGGCCTGTCTTGTCCATGTACAGATCACATAGTACGTCACTGCACTGTCCCTGCTGCTAGCTTAGGCCATCTCCCACAACATCCCTCCAAGCCCTCCTCTTGGGCTCCCACTCCTTCCTCTGGGTCTGGAGACAGCACTTCCGGGGATCTGAACATGTGCACACTTGGCTGCTCTGAAGGCTCCCCTCACGTCCTTGAAGGGGCGTGTGACCAAGGACCAAAGCACAGGCTGATCCTCACTGCAGAACTGCTGAACTGGGGGAGGAGCCGCAGACAGCCCCACCTGCTACGTCATCCGGAACACGGGGCTGGTGCTATCACGGGGGTGAGAAAGCAGCCCAAATTGAGGTCAGGTCTAGAGCAGGGCACTGGCCTGGGGGCTACCCAAGTGGAAGGTCCCAGACGGTCTGTGTTAGCCTCAGGACCCAACCAGACTCCTGTGTGCCACACCCCTCTCTTCTGCCCATAGATGGCAGATGTCTGCAGCCAGACATTTTCAGAAACCGGGAAATAAATGACCTCTCTGGGACTTGCAGAGGAGACATGGCAGGGCCCAGTGGCATCCCGTGGAGAAAAAAAAAACCCCCCAACAAAGAACGATTTCAGTTTTCACAGACTGTAGCATCAAACGAAGGAGAACATGGTTGTCCAGGCAACAGCTGCCATGGAGACAGGAGCTATTTCTGAGCATCAAGCTGACTTTCATTGGTGGAAAATGCTGATTCAGATGGCAGCATCCCTCACTCCCTTTCTCTGTCCCCATCCCCAGGGCTTCGTCTTCCCCTATAGTCCTGTTCAGGAAGAAGGGCATCTCTCCTGAGTAAAGGGCAGGCAGAGCTGCTTTGAGCAGTGGGGAAGGTCCTGGAGGCTGGGCTGAAGGCACAGAGGGATGTCACCCTCCTCTGGGACCAGGTCAGATACACAGAGCGAGGGGTCAACCAGCTGTGGCCCCAATTCCCAGGAGGGTGAATGGTGACTTACCTTCCAGTCTGTGTCCACAGCCAAGAGGAAAGCGTCCGAGTTCTCCTGCAGGAAGGTAAACAGAGAGGCCAGGGTCAGGTCCCTCTGACCTGGGGGCCCACCAGGGCGCTGCTCCAGGGGACAGGACTTCTGTTCCCTGGTCCACCTTGTTCTTGTGGTTGGGTGCTGTTGAGTGGGTTTTAACAAGTGGGAATAACAATTCCATGAGACAACGTAGAACTGCACTATATGATTTTTTTCAGCAAAAAAACAGGATGAATTGGCACAGAGGCAGCAGCAATGCGTTCATAGCAATTGTGAGGATGGTCCAGGGCCGGGCAATGCTTCATTCTGTTGTGCAGAGAGGGTCACTATGAGTTGGAACTGACTCAAGAACACCTAACAACAACATTTCTGACAGAGGCATCCTGGTATAGCACTAAACTGCTAACCACAAGGTCAGTGGTTCAAACCCACAAGCTGCTTCTCAAAAACCGTATACAGGGTTACTGTAAGTCAGAACCATCTCAATGGCACTTAACAGAAAGGAGCCCTGGCAATGTAGTGGGGCTACATGCTACATTGGGCAGCTAATTGCAAGGTCAGCAGTTCGAATTCACCAGCCGCTCTGTGGGTGAAAGATGAGGATTTCTGCTCCAGTGAACATTTACAGTCTTGGAAACCCTACACAAGGTCACTGTGAGTCAGAACCGACTTGATGGCACACAACCACTACCACCTCTAATTCTTAAAGAAGCAGATTTCCAGATCTTTCTCCCGTGAAGCCAGTCTTACATTTCGTAAGTAGCCAATTGCTTAACTGTTGCATCACCAAGAATAGATAGTACAGTTCCCTGGTCTGTTTTAATAAGAACCACCAAGGGCAAGCCAAGGGCAAATGTGCAGTTATTAAGTACTTGGCATAGGAGTCCATGAGCAGCTGCTCACATTGATTTTACTAATTAATTTATAATGTGAAGATTTCCATGTCATAAGTGAGAAGGGCACGGTTCAGTCATGGGCTCCAAAGCACTGCAATCTCTGACTCCAAATCCTTGCTGTTCCTGCTGCCCACCCTCCCCCACCTCTCCACCCCCAATGGTTGATGGTTGTCATGGTCTGACCATCCAGACACAGGCAAAGGGAGGGGAAGGAGCATTTTATGATTTATGGGCAGTCCTGTGAGTCAATAGTTACCATCGCACCCATTTTAGAGATGGGGAAGCTGAGGCTCACACAGGGCTGTCCAACCACACTTCAGCTCCCGCCTTCCCTGACCAGCCTGCGTCATGCATGGTAC